CGATTAATCGATTAATCGTGGCAGCCTTAGTCACAAATGCGAGACATTCTGGAGGCTGATTGCCAGCCCGCCTCAGCCCAGTGAAAAACGTCAACCTGTAAGGTTTCATTTCTGTTCCCTTCAAATGTTTTCCATGGATCATAAAGTGGATTCTTTTTCTGTTTGTTCTTTAAGGTAAATTCAACCGCGGGGTCCCGACAGACGCAAAAAAGCGGGTATGGGCAGAGATTACTGCACGGGTCAATGAGATCGGAGAGTGCCAACGTGAGGTCATAGAGGTCATCAAGAAATGGTCTGATCTAAAATGTGACACCAAGAGGAAGGTAGCCGCCATGCGGTCAGGGACAGTGCCCAACAGAGGACTGAACTCTCGCCTGTCCCGAGACCTTAGTCAAACGGAGAAAATCGTGCTCCAGATTCTGGAGATGGACAATGACGACCAGAGCACCGGCGACTTTGGTCCGCTGGGAGATGATGACGATGTTCCAGATGAGGAAGAAGAAATGGATGAAGAGGATATGATTGGACTGCAGAGTTCTCCCAATGGAGGTGTGGACATAGCAGCTATGCCGCCGCCGCCGCCTTCCTACAACACGAGTGGACCCACACACTCAGGTAGCAGTGAACTCTTTACACAAACACATCCCTGTCCTCTGACAAAACTTATTTATAAAAATAAATGTATTTAACCATTGCAGGGGACTCTTCCCAGGCTGCGTTTGATGTGCAGTATGAAGTTCCTACAACAGAAGGTCAGCTTTCACACACAGTTCATAAGTACATGGATCTCTGTATGCGTCCATCACTGGGGTTAAAGTATACTATAGTGTTAAAAACAATACATTATGGTCTAAATGTCAAACAATGAGATGTCTGTTTTAATGTGTTACCAGACTCCTGCTGCTCTGAGCTGTCTTCTGTCGTGTCCAGGAACCAAACAAAACCTTTAAACCTGTTAAAGAAAAGACTTGATTGGTTGTTTATTTAGTTTAGTAATAATACAGTTCATCACGAGGAACAACACTTGTCTCTCTCTTTTCAATTTCATACTATTTCCCACAAAAGCTACAGGAGTTAGCATGTTTGCAGGTAATATAAACAGCCTGCTGCAGGCGCAGTATGGAGGCTAATAACCAGAGTCTTAATTACTGTCGTCAGGATCTGAATRGTTTTATTCCAGAAAACAGATCAGATCAGTAATATTCTGTGTGACAGACACAGGTACTTTACACTTCTGATAAAATAACTAGTTCAACTTCAGTTTATTTATTTAGCGCCAAGTCACAACAAACGTTGTCTGGTGTGGGAATTTAGTTTTAATCTAAAGCTTGTGTGGAGCTACTGAAGAAAAACAACAGATTTAAAACCAGAGTTGTAAAGTAACTAAGTACCAATACTTTGTTACTGTACTTAAGTAGAATTTTTGGGTATCTGTATTTTACTTGAGTAATTATTTTTCAGCCTACTTTTTACTTCTATGCCTTACATTTTAAAAAAAGGCAAGCAGAAAGTCGTTACTTTTAGTTCATTTTTTGCTTGTTTTCATTCCAGCTTGTTATTGTAAAAAATAAATACTATCCATATAAATTGTGTCTCCTAGATAGAGTGAATTTAATTGTGGTTGAATGAGAAGAATAAACATATAAAACTCTGATAGCGTATTAGTTTGTACACAAACAAAT